TTTCATTCAACGTAAGCCAAGATTGTTGGTTTAGTTTTTGTGGGTTTTTTTTTTTTTTTCAGCAAAGTTATAACCAAATGATATTACTCAAGGACTTACTGTATGCAACCACAGGTGCTCCCAGCAAAGTGCCCTAGGAGCTACTTGTTTGCTTTTGAAGATGACCTTGTATGTAGGGATCCTACCCTGTGAACATCTTGTAGCCTGTTCACTATATAGGTCAGCACGCCCTCCTTCAAGGAGAAGTGGAGAAAGGAGAGAGAATTCCTTCAAATTCAATTTAATTCAGGGCCTACCTTTCCCTGGAGACACTCAACTCTCAGAGACCTACAGCTAAGGACAAGTCCTTTCATTTCAGCAAGAACAGTTTTGGTTGAATATGGTTTCTGGGTTGGTGAAAAGCATGGGGAAAATTACATAGAGAAATATATTATGGATTTCTGCCTCAAAATTGTGGGCTGTGAAAATAGCAGCCTGCAATTTCTTCCCTGTAATTTCCCTTCTTGTGTTTGTGTTGCCTAAATGGTGAGTCCAGTACTAGCAGAACATCCTTAACCTCCAGGTCCATGGCTTGGGAGCCACTCGCCTTTATCCCACTGCCCCCTCTCTCCAGGGAAGCCAACACAGCTGGAGCGCAAGCCCCTGAGGCAAGGACTTCTCTTCCCTCTTTCCACTCACATGGTGTCCTTTAAGGAGGGACACCAGGAAAAGGTGTTAGACCTTGGCTGGGACAAAAGCCTCAATATACAGATGAGAACACTGAGGCCCAGGAGGCCCAGCGGGCTCACAGCCCAATTGCACATTGCCTGTCTCTGAGCTCAGCACCCAACAGTACCCCTGTGGCAAATGGGCTTCTTCTTACAACAACTATGCCCGATCGACACTGGCCAATGATGTGTGTGTGAGCACATGGAAGATATACCTTGTTAGAGCAGAGTGCAGCCGTTGTGACCTACTGTTGGGTCTAAAACAAAAATACGCAACAATATGTAAATATCACCTCCTTTCTGCTCCCCTCTCCCCAACGAAAGCAGCAGCCTGTGCATGTGCTTCAGAAACTGTGTCTCAGTTCTGTGTGTGTCCTCACAACCACAGGGGAAGTCCCAGGGGTGCCCACCAGACTCTTGCTAGCAGGCTCTCCTTCACTTATTAAACTTTGGCATGGCTACGAATTTCACAACAACCTGCACAGTCAACAGTGAGAGGTCAAAGCAGTTGCCACTGATGGGCATGGAAGCCACGCCATGGTGCCTTGCTGGAACCAGCTACACTGGGTCCTGTGCTGGACTGGTCCTTAAGACACTACAAATGTCACTCACCCTCCCTGGGGCTCTAGGGTATGAGGCGCTCATTATGCTCCAGAGAGGGATACTGAGGCTTAAGGGGAACAGACAGCTAATAAGTGTCAGAGCCAGGATCTGAACCCAGGACTATCCAACATGACAGCCACATTCAGACAGCACCTGCGATGTCACTTTTTCACCTGCTTAGAGAAAAGGGAGTGTCTCCCATGGGAATGATGCCCATTTATCCCGAGCTGCTCCACAGCAGAAAAAGGCTGAGGCTGCAGTGCTGTTGAACGAAGGCACCTCAGGGCATCCACTGATGCACTGCAGGCCTGTTTGCTGCCCCCTCTTCACTCCTGCCCATCCCCCAAACTCCTCTGTCCTCACCATTCTTGGCCATGTCTCCATGCTCAAATTCCACTAAAGGCCTGCTCGCTGCTATTCTGGGCCCTGCATTAGCACGTGGGCTGTGATTTGATGGGAAGAGGCCAGACACCTCAGGACGATGAAAAATAAATTAGATGTAGCTTTTCCCTCCCCCTCTGCTCCCAGAGGCCCTTGCCCACAGCTACAGGAAGGCTTGAGAATCCAGTGTGGGGGGTGAGGTGGAAGGGGGAGGGGAAACCTTCACAAAGCATTCCAGTCGTGGAACTTGACGGCTCCTTCCCCTTGGAAATGTCATCTGGCTGACCACCATGTGGCTCCTATCCTCAGCTCCTTCGGGGCTCCATTCAGATATCACCCACTACCAAGGCCCTCTCTGACCACCCTTCAGAACTGCACACCCTCACTGGCCCCCTCTCCTTTGCTTCCTCCACAGCTTGTCACCAGATGCACTATTCACTCGCTGCTTGGTTTGCTTACTGCTCCCCCACTAAGAAGCTAAGCTGTGGCTCTACCCCAGGACACTGTGCAGGTACAGGGGGAGGGAAAGAGTGAAGAAATCTGGGGAGGAGGTGGAGAGCCAGTGCCTGAGGAGGCCCTGAGCGTGGGCCCGGTTCCCCTCAAATATCATGGGATAATGAAGATAAGAAGGTGAACACAATGACTTTAAAAAGCCAGGGAAGCAGCAGCTCCCCGAACTCTTTTGAATCTGGGCCGGCGCGCAGCATGAATGGGGAGGCTTTGGGAAATAAACACATTCGGAAGTCGTGTGCAGTTGGAGTCCCGCATGCTGACACGTGTTCAAAAACAAAAAGCCCAATTTAGACGAGAATAGCAGGAAGCCGTCCCCCAGGAATACCTGTGATGTCATCTTGATGGGCTGCGCTGCTTCCACTTTGGCAAGTCTCCTGCCTCCTGCCAACTCAAGGAGGTCAGGAGCCATATCCTGCCTCCTGCACCTCGCGGACAGCCAGAGAACTGCTGGGTGCAGCAGACAGACAATGCTGTGTGTCCCGTGTGGGACAATCACACCTCACAAGCAGAACTCTCCACACTGTATTCTTTTTCTTTACTTTTTTTTTTTACTTTTTTTTTACTTTTTTTACTTTTTTTAACCTTTTTTTTTACTTTTTTTTTAAGATTTATTTATTCACGCATATAAGAGCTGGGGTACAGGGCAGAGCAGAGATGTGGGGGGGGGCGGGGAGGAGTGTGTGTGTTTGTGAGAGGATTCACCAGAGACAGAGCGGAGAACAGAACAGGCAGACTGACTGAAATACACTGCTGAGGGGAGCAGCAGGCGAGTTAGGAGAGGTCTGCTGCACCACGTGGGTTGCTCCCTGGCCGGCCGGAGACTGAACTTGTGCTGCAGAGGCTGTGGACCGCCCCATAATACAGTGCTTAACCCCTTGAGCCACCAGGGAGGGCCTCTCCAACCTGTATTCTGTAAACATTTTGGGCATGTCTACCTCCTCCAGTCCTCACAACCACCCTATGAGGTGGTCAGGAGCATCTTCATGGTAAAGGTAAAGACACACATTTCAAAAGAGGAAGTTATTTGCCCCATATCACACAGCTAGTGAGTGGAATCTGGGTTTCTGTGAGTTTGGACCCAAGCCAAGAACACAAATGATCTGTCTCACCTCTCAATCACTTGCTGTGTGACCTCAGAGAAGTGTCTATCCCTCTCTGAGCGTCTGTATCCACACATTAAACCATTGCATTCAGTGTTATTTAAGCAGTCTTCCTGCTCTGACTTTCTATGACCTCTTGCAAAGGTACCAAGACAGGAGGGAAGGATGAGGACTCAAGTCCTGGGTCCCTGCTTGAGCAGTCCAACTCCTAAGCATCTGCCCCATGATACCAGCCCCATCCCCTGGCTGTCTAGAGGAAGTCCAAGGACCAAATGGGCAAAGTAGGACATTTTAGACTCAGGCAGCACAGGGCTGGGCCAAGAGAAAACCAAGCAGGACCCTGAGAGGGACGAGAATCTCTGTGGGCTTTCCTGCAGTACGGGAGGAAGACTAGGCAAGAAGAAATCCTGGCAGACAGATTCTGCACCCTCCACAGGGGATGCAACCAGCCAGGTGTGTTCTAGGAGAAATGGGACAAAAGGAACACATGCCTGGGCCAGTTTTATTCTCGGAGGAAAGCAGCAAACATGATTGAGCTGCCCCTCTTTCTGGCATCCCCAAGGCCACCACGGACAGGAGGCAGGGAGACAAGTCTGAGGCTCAGCACTGGAATGCTGCTGGAGCTGCACTTTCTCCACACTGCCGACAGCTGCCTTCTTTGCAATGTCCCAAAAGCCCAAATTTGGAATAATTTATATTCTCGCTTTCTACCCAGGCGGATCAGCCATTCCCATCCTCCTCGACATGGGAAGGTCCCTCTCCGTGGCTTTCTTGGCAGAGATGCATTTGATTACTCATCTGCTTCCAGGGGGCTCCAGAGACTGCCAAGAGGAGACGGCAGCTCTCCAAGCCACGCAGCCTTATCTGCAAGGTCTGTACATGGGATGAAAGTGGGATGATGGCAGGGGAAATACCAGTGGCCTGCAGGGTCCCCCCACCCAGGAAGGGGAGCTCTTCAGCAACCAAGCCCATCAGGGATGGCCGAAGAACAGACAACAGAAGCAGTCAGGCTTTCTGTCTGTCCACCTGTCTAACACCATGAATCACCGTTCACACTTGATGGTAAATCAATGTGGAATATTTCTGAACCAGGCCGCCACCCAAGACGAATGAGGTTAGGAAGATGGAAGAGCTGGCCTGAGGCAGCCAGGAGATGCTGGCCATGCCCTTATTGGCAGAACCTCAGACTTAGCTGACCCAGAACAGATGGAGCAGCCAGGGTCTGAGGCGCCAAATCCCAGAATACTCGACCTTGTATCTCCTCTCTGCTGTTTCCTTCTAATCTCCTTCACTTCCTGCCATGCGCTGTGCTAGAGCTGGCAAGACAGCTGCTTGGGAGTATGCAGTCCATCCCTCCCCCTCCCTCTCTCTCTCTCTCTCTCACACACACACACACACACACACACACACACACAAACACACATACACACACACCCCAGGTTCCTGCAGGGAACTCTAAGAGGCCCCGGAAATACAACAAAGCAAATTCAAGCAAAATGTTAAGCAGTCCAGTAATTTCTCAGCAAATCAAGAGATTGTAGAAACGCCATCTTTGCAAGAAGTTCCTTGTAAAGAGCCGAGGACTGAGAATTCGGGTCCCCTCACTAACTGCTTCCTTTTAAGAAGGCAGCACCTGCGTCCGGGGCTGGAGTGGAAGTGAATTGTTTGGTTCTAGACAAAGAGGGAGTCCACTTACTCATTCTTCTCCAGGTCCAGGATCAGTTCTCGCCCCTCGGCTGTTACCCTGAGCTCAGCTTGGAGTGGATGCTAAAGGCAACAATAAAAGCGAGTTAGTCCCTAAAAGTGGGGGTCAAGCCTCCCAGGAAGGCCACAGGGTCCAGCAAGTGCTCTGACAGAGGAAGGGAATGAGAAAGGGTCAACTACTCTGCTTTTCTAGCTCCAACGTGAAAGAATTGCAGTCCCACAGGCCCTACATCCCCCTCTGCCTTCTCCCAAGAGACAAAGGAAAGAAACTCCAGGCTGAAATGCACTGGGAGTGCTTGTGTACACATCTTGAAGGCAGGCATCTCCAGCAGCAAGTTGAGTGTGGGGTCAGATCTGGCTTCCAGTGCTGACTGACCTCTGACACAGGAATGTGGGCATGTCTTGGAGCCTTCCTACAGCTCCCTCCTTCATTATAAAATAGATGTTAATAATCAACCCCATAGGATTAGGTAAGGTTGTGAAATGTAAAGAATTTTTCACTGTGCCTGGCACACACAGGGAATCCTAATACATGTTGGTTACTAACCAGAATACCAGAGGAAGCCTCTTCATAGACACATTGTACACGTACGACAAAGTTCGCCAATGGCCAAAGCTGCTTCACATTCAGAATCGGCAAGTTAAGGTATGGCCATAAGCTTGAAAACCACCCCCAAAGTCACTAGTATCTGTCCCTCCACACCCATCCCCAACTTTAAAAAATAAGATACCTTGAAAAATAGCAAAGTGACAAAAATGTTTAGAAGTCAAAAATCACAATGCAGTGGAGCATGCTACAAAATGCTCTCATAATTCCCAAATTTCCAAGAAAGTATACATTACAATTATTAAGCACAAAGGCTCAAAATATAATATTTTGTATCTCATTTAAATATACTTCAGTAAAGAAAAAAGGTAATAAACCAAAAGGTTACCATAGTTACTTCTTGGCAGTAAGGTTAATTTTACTTTTATTTGTGCATCTTTCCATATTTTTATAATTGTGTTTATATTTTGAGAAGTGGCTTTTTATTTGTTTTTACCTTGCTATATGGAAAACTTCAAAAAAAATGAAAATCCAAAACAAAACCTTCCATGCTTCAACTTGGGGCAGCTGAAGTTTTATTTTTTGAAGGAAAAAATTACTTATATAAAACAGGATATTTACATATTTAAACATATTCAAAACAGTATCATTTTTTTGAGCTGTTGAGGGCTTTGGCTCTGGACCATGGAACTGATAACTCCTGGAGTCTCTGTCCACCTTGCTAGAGCAGAGCCATTTCCAGGTTCCCACAGAGCTTAGGTTGGGCTAATCTGAAAACACGGCTCATCAGTTTTGCCACCAGGTTGGGCAAAGCTCAAGTTCATTCCTCTTCTTATTTGCTTCAAGCCCCGCTTCCCATCAGGGTCCTGGGCATCCCTGAGACTTAGAGCCACCAAGGTTTCTGATGAAATCTGAACGTTCTGATCCAGGTCTCTTGGGCAACTCTGTCCTTTGCTATCTTTTGCTAATATATCTTATTTACTTCTCTTAAAAAAGGGACATTTCAAAATTTGTGGGGAGGATGCTTGCCCAATAACTTTCACTAAGGGATTCACTTCTCTATTTCTGTTGCCCCCGGCCACTTTATCTCTGCCCATGCCTCCTTCTGGTTGCTGGTCCTTTGTCACTTTACTCTGGGGAGTTCCACAGTCAGGGTTCCTGCCCAATCGCATAAATGTTAGGGACTGTGGTCCCATTTGAGAAAAAACAATTCCCTTCTCTGGGGGGGCGGGGGGGGGGGGGAATGTGACAGCCCAGGCAAAAAAGGAAAGTTGACACAAATCAAAGCACTTGTCACCTCTTCCCCAAAGAGACACAAGTTGCAACATGAGAGCTAATATATATTTTTAAGTGTGCAATCCAAAAATATTCCTCTCTGCTCTGGAAGATATTCAGACAATGACATTTAAAATATGAGGCCCCTTGTTTCTAGGGGATGTTTCAAGCAAAACAATGAAACAGCATTGCAAGGATGGAGACAGCTTATCAGGTTAACCAGCTCGCTGATCGCTGATCTGCCTTTCTCTTGTTACTGCACTCTGTGCTGGGAAGACATCCCCTCTCCTAGAAGTGCAGGGAACTAGCATATTGGTTCTATGTCCCCCAAGAAAGCGTACAAATCCCTGTCTATCTAGGGATGGATTAACAGATCTGCTCTATAAGGCACTGGAACTCTGTCTATATATCTGTATCCCCCTTAAGATGCAGGATAATAGCTAGTATACAGTGAGTGTTGAGTTAACGTTTGATGAATGAATTAATTACATAAATGAAAATAAGAGACCTGAGTGAGACCCACCTTCCTGTCTCTCCCCATCTTTCTCCCCCCCCCCTCTCTCTGGCATCCATTCCCTTGTTCATTCAACAAATACTATGGTGCCAGGCACTGTGCTAAGTAATCCCACAAAATACAATGACCCATGAGAAGACAATGGCTGGGAACAAAGACAGGATCTGGAGCTCCGTTTGTTTCTGAGGCCCTTCCTGAGGATGCCCGAAATCCCACATCTGGAGGGCACAGAGGGGCCTCTATAAAAAGTATCAGATTCATTCTTTGTGCAATAATGGATAGGTTGGAATATCCAAGATCTCAAATTTTTAAAAATAACCTGCCTGAGGATAGCCATCCATTAATTTGTCTAGACTTTTCTGGAAGCTATTTTCAGCCTTTCCTACTTTTTGATGAAAGGAATTCCATGCATTTATTGTCATTAGAATAATGCTTCCCTTGCTTTCTTTTGTCCTAATATATTTGCTATACATTCCTTACTAAATCCAAATTGGAGAATTTAGGGATATGCCTGTATGTCTCTAACCGGAATGTCAAGAATTTTGGACATTTCTCCTCTCCATTTGTTTCCCAGATGCAAGAACACAAAGTGTGAGCTCTCTCCCGACACAGCTCTCTCCGCTCTCTCCTGCTAGACTCTTGCTCTTGCACATGTGTAATAAATCCCTGACCCACTGAACCCAAAGGGATCTTACTAACTACCCCCCTCCCCAGACTTCTTCCTTCTTATTTCTTCTAAGCCCTGTTGAAATGAGGAAACTCAAGTTTCAGAAACTGTAAGTTCCATAGTTGGTTCTGGGCACACAGCAATTACTCCTTCCTTTTTAGCTTTTTCATGTACCATGAGAGTTGTGAAAACAGAAGCACAAAACCCCCTGAAATGTGAAGTTCTCTGTGTAAGAAGAGGGACATGTTTTCTGTCTTATTCTCAATTCCTCTGAGAAAGCTTGTCCACCTTGTTGGAATCAGTTGGATTTAAAGACATTCCCCAGTAACAGTCCCTACCCTGCCTCTTACCAAATAACAGTTTAGACCATCATTTTTCTCTCCAAGCATATTATCTCATCGATAAAAGGAAGCATGCATTATGCAGAGCAAACACCACAATGACAAATTTTAATAAATTCCGGTAGAGAGTCGGTGGTTTTTGTGACACATGTTCGCACTTAGCTTGTGCCAGCATTAACGTGGATTTTCATTTCCTTAACTAATAACATTTGGGAGCATTCTAAAAATTGTCACACAGTGAAGGGAAGTCCTATGTGGGATTTCCAAGCTTGAAACACAGAGAGGATAGAGTGGGCTAGAAACAGAAGTAAAGGTATAACGAGGTTCCCAGCCAAGTGGAATGGGTGGCCCCACACCTCAGGCTGTCTGTCAACTGCTGAGTCTGAAATGGAAAACTTTTGAGTCTTACCTTTTCTCTCTTGGGGTCTTCTGTGGTCTTCCACTGAGGTATTACTAGTTCATGCTGTAGCCAGGGGCTGCCTTCCCCACTTCCTCCTGCCAATACAAGATGCAGTGCATTGGAATCACAGACCTCCACTTCCTAGCTGAGCCATGTACTGCCAGCAGGGAAGAAGCCCATACCGGGCTACTGCTAGCTTCAGGTCTAGGCAGCCATCTAGCCATTGGCAAGACAGTGTTAACGTGACCCACAAGGTCCCCGAAACCCTCCCAAAGTTTCCATCCCAGAAGTAGAAGACAGGAGGACCATGGAGTAAAGAGATACTGAAGAGGGGTGCCTATTTTAGACAGGTTTATGTGCAAAGATGGCAGTTAATTGAGACTTCGGGGGCCAGGAGAAGGCAGACTTGCAAAGATCTGGCTAGGGTAGAAATGGCTAGGGTAGAGGGACGAGCAAGTGCATCCACCCTGCCTGAGCACCAGAAGGGGAGGTGGCCTGTTTTGGAAACAAGCAGAAAGTAGAGGTAGCTCGGGGTCCAGTAAACTGGTATGGGGGGTGGGGATGGGTGGGTAGAGGTTGGTTACTGGTCAGCAACACAGCCATGGGTATCACAGAGGTCAGGGAAAGCGTCTGGGTTTTATTATAAAGAGACTTGAAAGGCACTGGAGAGTTGAGACAGTGATTTTATCTGCATTCAGTTTTAAAATGATTGTGCTGCCTGGGGGTGGAGGGAGGGAGGGAGGGAGGAAGGGTGGGTGGCGAGGGGGCCTGAGTGAGGAGAAACGGAAGGCAGTCTAGAGAGTGGCTGGAGATTCCTCCAATGACATCAGAGGAGAGGAATGGAGTGGTGGGGTGCTGGGTACATTCTGGAGGCCTAGTCCACCGGTATTGTTCCCACTGGGCTTTAGTTTTCTCATGTGTGAAATAAAGATAATGATACCTGCCCATCTCACAGCAGCACTGGGGGTTGACTGGGAAATTGCTTCCTAATCCCTAAAGCATCCCTGTTTGCATGTGTGCACTACTTGCTACCTTCCAAACCACTCTCCTCCCCCTCCCTCACGCTCACACAGCCCAGGAGATGGGGAGCAGGATCTCTATCCTGCAAGAAAGGTGAACTGAAACTTGAGGAGACTCGTTCTAGGCAGTGCAGACTTCAAACATTGGTTGCAGATTATCTTAATAAAGTGACAATCTCCCAAGACCAAAGCTTCACAAGAGTAAGTCAGATCCACAGGACTCTTAGGGAAGAGGGTAAGGACTCTAAAATCTATTCTTTCTACCAACCACATCAATCTTGTAGAACAGAATGAGTGATGTAAAAGATGGCCATAATTGTTTTGTGCGAGGAGCTGGATTGCCTATGATTCACTTTCCTTTCAGATCTAAGGTATTCACAATTAAAATACATCTTTAAAAAAAAAAAGCTCAATAGACTAGCATTACTTAAGTTACCTTTAACATAAAGGTAGAACCTTTTACCTAAAGGTGAAAATCAGAAGCAAAGCATTCATTGATTGATGATGTGTTTTCTGGGTACTTTTATGTGCCAACTACTCTACCAGGAGCTTGGTGATGGTGAGGGACCAAGAGTGCAGGCCCTTTGCAGGGAACCTGGTAAGACCAGATTCTTTGCAACAAATAGGGATGACGTTATATTTAATGGCATACTTGCAGGAATGAAAAGATCTTTATGACTGCAAAAAATATTGAAAGCAACTCAAGGCCTCCATAACAGAAGAACACAGGACATCTTCAGAAAAAGTGCTCCAAAGTTGGAAATGAGGCAAAGAGCAAGCCCGATGGCTTTTCAATGTCACATAGGAGCATTGTTCAACAGGCTCTCCCGACTATGACTTCTCTAAGGGATGCAACTTTTCTGACTATTCTTACTTACAAGAATTGAAAGGCTGTACCGTAAGAAGTTAGGTGTTAACGGTAGATTTCTATTTGCGCGCGGTGCTAAGGACATGAGTGAAGTAGATAACTCCGAGTGAGGATGGCTGCTTGGCCCCCAAGGGTGCCCGGCCTTCTGTACCTACCCCAGCGCAGGATTTCCACTCTTTCCCCCGAGCCTCATCGCTCCCTGCCTCTAATGCTTTGAGCCCTCGCCACTCGGCTCACCGCCTCCCTAAACCAATTCAATAAATCTTTGCTGCCTGGGCATCCTCTATGGGCATGAGTCATGTTTCGAAATTAATGTTTAAAATGTCATTTCTGAGATTTGTGTATGGAATTCATAGTCATTAAAATTATGTGTTCGGAGCATGTAACAGTGTGAGAAATACCGATGAACGGGAAAGTGGACAATGCAAGACAGGAAGCTGTTCCAGAGGGATAATGCTTCGGGTTTTATCGCTATGCGTTTCGGAACGCACACACAAAGCCCGGAGGAAACGCAGGGACTGGGAAAGCAGCGGAAAGAGAAGCCAAAATCAGGAGCGAGAGGAGGAGGAGGAGGAGGAAGGGGGTGGGGGGGGGAGAGAAAGAGAAATGAGAGAATGAGGAAAGGGAGCGAGGGAGCCAGCGAGCGAGGGGGAGCGCGCGCCAGGCTCTCGCTGATGGATCCGCGTCCCCGAACCTTCACGTCCCCTCCCGACGCTCTAGGAGAGAACAAAGCCGGCCTCCCCAGGCTTGGGGGGGCGCCGCCCCGCGGAGTGGTGGAAGGCGATCTCAGGTCCCCGAGCCCCCAGGACACCGCCTCCATCCCTCCGCCGCGCGCGCCCCGGCGCCCCGCCACTTACTTCTGGTCCAGCCCGGCAGGGCGAGCGCCAGCAGGCAGAGCCGGGCAGCGCCCACGCCCGCGGGCATGGTGGCAGCGGCCCCTCGCGCTCGGGCTCAGCAGCACGCGGCCATGCCAGCCTCCGGCCGGGAACGCTCCGCTCAGCCTGCGTCTCGCGGCCGCCTTACAGCCATGGGCCGCCACGCCCCGCCCCCGGCTGGAGCGAAGCGGAGGGGAGGGACCGCGGGGGAGGAGCCAGCAGGACCCCTAGCGAGACTGCTACCCAGGTAATGGGGAGCTGGAGAGGATGAGCCAGCCCCATCAGGGAGAGGGGCTCTCGTGAGCGCGGCCTGGGCAGGGTTCGAAGCAAGGACTTGCAGGGGTTAACCTGGACCCCACTGGGCACCACGGCCCAAGTCCCCTGCCCCGTGCTATGCCGGACGTGGTGGTAACAGGCTACTCGCCCAGTCCTGTCCCGGAGGTCGCCTGTCTCAAAACCAGGCTCCGAAAGAGTTAACCGCACCACCAGGCACAAAGAACTAAGTGCTGGGATGGAGTTGTTTTCTTAGCAGGACTCAAATCCAGGAGCCCTTCCTTCTGGCTGGGAGGGGGGGTTGGCTAAGACAGGAATCCAGCAGAGAAGACATCTGAGCTCAGAGAAGGAGAAATACAGCTCCAGTCAGGGAAATCGGCCTAGACAGACTTAAAAGGCCAGAAACCCTTGGGCTGGCTGGGGGGAACCAAGAAGGAGGGCTCTTTAGGGTTTAGGGCTTTGGAGAGAAATGAAGGGAGATAAGACCTGCATTACTGACTAGTAATAAGAACAGTCACTTACTGAGAGTTTATTATCTCAAAGAATCAGAAAACAGTGATGACAAACTGACAAAACACCTTCGAATCAAACACTGTCCTAAACTCTTTACCCAAATTAACTTATTTCATTAATTAATCTAGAAAAAGAACTATCTTTTATTGTCCTTTACTTTGTGCCAGGGACTCTTGCATACATGATCCCTTTCAATTAGATCATTAAATCAATAGGTAGATATTAATTTATGCAGTATTAGAAATCAGAAAGCCAAATCTGAGAAGCCAATTAATTTGCCTGAGGTTGCACAGCTAATGTCAGAGCCTGAAGTCAAGTGCACACTTGTGTGATTCCAGAGCCTATGGAGGCCCACATTGTTTTACAGATTGGTAAATACAGAGAGAGAAATGGCTTGCCTAAGAGCCCCTTAGCTAGTTTTGGCAAAGCCTGGTTCTAGAAACCATGTTCTGGCCTCTGGTTACTTATTCCTTGCCCTGAGTCTCTTTTCTTCAAACCCAGGTTTGCATAATTAAACAAGGCGCTGTGTGCTGGTGAGGAAAAAAGCATCACAGATGCTCAGCAGTTAAATCTGTCAAAACCATGGAGAATCATGGGAGAAAACAAAGATAGGAGCTTGCCAATGATGTGTTTAGGGAGTGCAAGTGTCTGCTCAGGTTGCCATAAACAAATATTACAGGCCAGGAGCTTAAATAGCAGGGATTTATTTCCCCACAGTTCTGGAGGCTGGAAGTTCAAGATCAAGGTGCTAGCTTGGTGGGGTGGTTTCTGGTGAGGACTCTCTAACTGGTTTGTTATTGGTCACTTTCTCCCATGTCTTTACATGGCCTCTTCTCTGCTTGTGTGGAGAGAACCAGCCCTGGTATCCTCCCCTTCTTTCAAGGACACTAACCCCATTGCATCAGAATTCCACCATTTTTCTAAACGTTATTTTATCTTTATTTTTCTTTATGACCATCTCCAAATTCAAATATAGACATATTGAGGGTTTGGGCTTCAACATGTGAACTGGTAGGAGTGAGGGAAGACACAGTTCAGTCCATAACATGCCATCCTCTGACATGTGAAAGCTCACATGCTTACTGGACGCAAAATGCATTCTCTCCATCCCAACAGCCCAAAAGTCTTAACCCATCCAGCATCAATCCCAAGTCTAAAGTCTCGTCTGATATCATCTATATCAGAAATCAAGGGTTCAATCTTGAGGCAAAATTCCTCTCTAGCTGTGACCTTGTGAACTAGAGAAGTAACATGCTTCTGAAATACAGCTGTAGAACTGACATTTCCTTTGATTGGGTGAAATCGGAAGGAAGGGGTAGCAGGTCCCAAGCAAGTCTAAAACCTAGCAAGACCAGTTCCATTCAATTTTAAGTCTCTAGAATAACCCTTTGGGATTGATGCTCTGCCTTTCAGGCCCACTGGGGTGCTGGCTTGGTGGTAGCATCCCATGATCCCAGGTATGGACCATCCCCCTGACCCCTCCACTCTGGGTATGGACTGCCTGGCTCCCTGAAACCAAGAGGGGGTCCCACCCTTTGAAACCAAGGAGACTTGCCCTTTGGCCCTGTAAGCTCTAGGCAGAGAGTAGGAATGGCAGCCCTGATGATCTCTGAACCACCTTTGAGGTCATTCTTTTCTTCTCTTAAAAGATAACCAAATAGTTCTACTGTCCAGGAGAATTCCAAAATTCCAAAAGCCTTCCTTTGTTTCATCCTTTTTCTGGTATCTCTGTTCCAAGCTGGTTGGGCCTTGCTGGTCTAATCACATTTCTCTTCCCCTGCTTCTATTTGAGATGGCTGATGAACTGCCTGGGTCATGTCTTCATAGAGGACTTGTCCAGGCACACCCTTGTTGTTCTCTCTGGAATGCATGGTCTCTTTTTATGCAAGATGGAAGGGCTGTGAATTTTCCAACTCTTCGAGTTCTGGTTCTTTTTTGCATTTCTCTCCTTTTGTATTTTATTTTATGCATCCAGGAGAAACCAGGCTACACCTTCAATACTTGACTTGGAAGTCTCAACTAAATATCCAAACTCATCACTTGCAATTTCTATTTTGTACAAAACACTACAACACAACTCAGCCAAGTTCTTTGCCACTTAATAACAGGAATTGCCTTGTTTCCAGTTTCTGGTGATACAGTCTCCATGTGCCTCTGAGATCTTACCAGAATCACCTTCAACATTCATATTTCTACCACAATCCATAAATAGTGATGTATGTCTTCCCTAAAGCAATAGCTGTTCTTCCTGATGCTTCACCAGAATTGTCGTTGGCATCATAGTTCTACCAAGAGTCCCTTCAAGGCAGTCTAGCATGCACCTTAAAACTCTATCCATTACCAGTTCTAAAGCCACTACCTCATGTTTAGGGATATACTATAGCAACTTCCCACTTCTTCATGCCAAATTCTGTGTTAGTTTGCTCAGGTTACCACAAAAGAATACAATAGACTGGGGATTAAACAACAAAAATTTATCTTCTCATAGTTCTGGAGGCTAGAATCCAAGATCAAGGTTTGGGCTTAGCTGGTTCCTGGTTAGGCCTCTCTTCCTGGCCTGTAGATGGCCACCTTCTCCTGTGTCCTTTCATGGTCTTTTCTGTGTATGTGTGCAGAGAGAGCTCTGGTCTTACTCTTCTAATAAGGACACTAATCCTAGAGCATCAGGGTTACCTCACATAACCTTAATTACCTCCATATTGGTCCTGTCTCCAAATACAATCACATTGGTACTTAGGGCTTTAGCATACAAATTGGCGGGGATTGAGGGATAGAGGTGACATGATTTAGTCCAAGATCGTTAGCCCTAGAGCCATGAGACCATAATTTGAATCCCAGCTCTCTCCAACCAGCTCCTTTCTGGCCTGAGTTTCTGATGTATGACCTAGGAACGAGAATGGTGCTGCCAACTTATCTGCCCCAGAAAAGGAGAAAAGCTGTCAAGATGCTGCAGTGAAAATGTTCTGCAGGTAAACAATGAAGTGCCAAGTCTAACTGATTTTAGGGACAATACACTTGCAAAAGGCATACAAATCCCATGCCTAAAGTTGGCTGACATTTGCTGGCATTTAGTTGGTCAATATTTGACAGGCATGTACCTCTGGAAATTGTGAAGGAATAAAAGGAATAAAAGTCCCCAGTCTTGTCTCCAATTTACCCCACGCACCACCGCCACACTTACACAGGAACAAACATACACGAGTTTTGATCCCCTGGTAGCCTTTCCATTTATTTGTAAAGAATATATTTGTTATTATAAAGAAACGACATCTCTACATTGTGTTTAAAATATTCATGACATTTAACCTGGTAATTACATTCCTAGGAAACTACCCACCAAAAGAATGATCTTCAATGCACATAAAGACTTATAGACCAAATGTTCATGGTGGTGTGATTTCTAATAGTGAAAGTATTGGAAATAGTCTAAATATCTGACTATGAACAAGAGTTATAGACCACACACATGGTGGATTAGTATGCAGCAACATAAAATATATTTACAAAATGTTTAAGTTCTGATGTAAAGTAGAAACAAGCAGGGTCCAAAATGACATTTAATCATGATCTTGACTTTGTAAATAAAAGATACTTTAAAATGACAAGTAAAAAATGTGCCAATATGTTAGTGGTGGTTACCACTGGATGGTGGGACCATGGGAGAATGAAGGTTTTTTTGGTTTGGTTTGGTTGGATTTTGTCTTCTTCTGTTTGGTGTGTATGGGCAGGGCAGGGAAGATGACCTCTTCTGTTTCTCTGCAATAATTATGTATAACTTTTGTAATAGGGGCGGGTGAATAAAACACAGGAAAGAAACACAAGGGATTATGCTTGATCCTGGTATATTATGTAAAGTTTTGCATGCTTGGCCTCTCAACATATACTTGAACTTTCCCATTGATGTTAGGGAAACTGAGGCAGAGCTGAATTCCAAATTTCCAGTCCAGGTGACCCAGGTCACTAATCCTCCCTAGCTACAGTCTATAGGTTAGGAGGTGACCAGACTGTAGGGCTTAAATCCCTTGGCTGTCCTTTATCAGTGGTGCAGCCATAGCAAATAAACTTTCTGCGATTTTGTTGCCTCTTCTCTACAGGATGCAGATAATGACAGTTCCAGCTCAGGGGGAGGCTATGAGGCTTAAAATGGGAGCTTAGACTAGCACTTCTCACGTGGTAAGCAGCCAGTAATGCTAGCTCCCATTGCTAATAAGTACCAAGGTGGTGTGTGAGGAGTCTAATTATATGCTGATTAATTATTATCAAAGATAGTTATCATGTTTTCCTGTAATTGTCTTTTCCT